CAATCCATTCAGTGTGTGACCACAAAACTTCCACAGCAGCACTCAATTCTTTTGGTGTATGACCACAAAATTTCCACAGTAGTATTCAATCCTTTCAGTGTGTGACCACAAAACTTCCACAGCAGCACTCAATCCATTCGGTGTGTCAGTACAAAACTGTCAAGAGAGTGGTCAATAAAATATTTTAAAGTGTATGACAACGTTACTAAACAAAAATAATAAGTGACAATTAGTATATAAGTATAGCGATAAACACTGGAATAGGCTTGTAGCTACTCACTTGTATGAGAGTGGACAGCCATTTGACTATTTAACTTAGAATCAGTCGTACCTAATAAAGTTTATAAAGGAGTAGCCAGTGACAAACAATATGTGCTACATAAACGTATGGTCGCTTAACGACACGTAATGTAGCCAGTGTGTGGTTATTAACGGTTATATAAATAACCAGTGGCAGACAGTATATGCTACATAGACATATAGTTGCTACTACCGTTTATATTATTTACCCGTGGCAAACAGTATATACATGTAGCTGCTTAACTATTCAAAATGTAGCCAGTTAAGATGTGCGGCTAGTAATGGTTGTATTATTAACAAGTGGCAAATAATAACATACACTACAGCTAGTTAACTGTAAACAAGTTATGCAGTTCACTTGTATGTGACTACAAAGGTCCAGATCGAGGCCTTTATCGGTGTTAACAAGTCCTTTCGATGGTATGCATAGCACATTGAAATGTTCAGATGATAAAATATACCTGTTTGTAAATAACACGAATAACAAACAAATACAGCTACAGCGTCTAAAATATGAAAATTAAATGAAACTGTGAAAAGTTGTCATTCCCCAAATTCGCTTTACACGGAAAAGTGGGTCAGAGGTCATTATCTCTTCGTTCGCCGAAAATATTTTTTCTAGATGAGGATTAGTTTGGTTTGGTTTTGAATTTCGCGCAAAGCTACACGAGGGCTGTTTGCGCTAGCCGTCCCTAATTTAGCAGTGAAAGACTAGAGGGAAGACAGCAGCTAGTCATCACCGCCAACTGTTGGGCTACTCTTTTACCAACGAATATTGGGATTAGTCGCTACATTATAACGCTCCCACGGCTGAAAAGGCGAGCATTTTTGGTGGTACGGAGATTCGAACCCGCGACCCTCATATTGCGAGTCAAGCGCCCTAACCACCTGGCCATGCCGGACACCTAGATGAGGATTAACAAGAAGAAGAAAAAGTTTTATATATAAGTATACATATAACATAGACTTATGCATTTATATATATATTCTTCAAGAACATTTATCCTGTTTTTACTTAGGAACTAGGCCAAGATGGTTTATTGACTAGTGTGCATGAACTGTGACTACGAAGGTTCATGGTTCACGACCCAACTCGAAAAATGCGCTACACACTCCGGGCCATAAGTGCGATATAAGAGTGACGATCAGATCCTAGTTCCATATCAGAGTAGCTCAAAAGCTGACTAGCTACCTTTCTTCCAGTTCATCTAATCAAAAATCACGGAGAGCTACGCTCAGATAGACAGCCCTTTATGAAGCTTTGCGCGAAAGTTCTAAAACAAACCAACAATCCATACTTATGAACTGTAACTGAAATATTAGTTAAAAATCATGATATTTTGTGTCTCATTTTTCCAACAGGGGGCACGGAGAAAACCAATCGCAGAAAAGGCAAATGTAAATGGTTCAATGTTGCGAAAGGATGGGGTTTTATCACGCCTTACGACGGGGAGGCCGACATTTTTACCCATCAGGTGAGAACTTTAGACTTTTTTTATTTTGTTCTATGGTTCTGTTGTATTATTATGCTAATGCTCTCTTTTTTTTTTCTCACATTTTTATATGTGGTAGATAAGTTTAAAAAAAAACATATAAGGTAGTAAACTCGCTTGGAAAAATTATATAAAAAAAGTGTTTTCTTTCTTTGTTTGGTTTAAATGCAAAGATGTACAATTGGCTATCTACGCTATACCCACAGCAGGAATTGAATCCCGAATTCTAAAGCTTACTGCAGAGACACTGAGAGGAGAGGCGTTGAAAAAATCAACCAAGATATTAACCTTCTGTACTTAGTCTGCTTTACAGTTTGTACATATTTTGAAAAGGAAATCTAAATAGAAATACATTAAGTACATTGCTCCACTTTAAGTTTTGAAACCATTTAACTAATAGAAGTATGGTCCTCTATAGCAAAAAACTTCTAAATTGAAATGCATTACGTACATTGCTCCACTTTAAGCTTTGAAATCATATAACCCAATGAAGTACGATCCTCTATACCAAAAAACTTCTAATTAGAAATACATTAAGTACATTGCTCCACTTTAAGTTTTGAAACCATTTAACCAAATGAAGTACGATCCTCTATACCAAAAAACTTCTAAATTGAAATACATCAAGTACATTGCTCCACTTTAAGTTTTGAAACCATTTAACCAAATGAAGTACGATCCTCTATACCAAAAAACTTCTAAATTGAAATACATCAAGTACATTGCTCCACTTTAAGTTTTGAAACCATTTAACCAAATGAAGTACGATCCTCTATACCAAAAAACTTCTAATTAGAAATACATTACGTACATTGCTCCACTTTAAGCTTTGAAACCATATAACCCAATGAAGTACGATCCTCTATACCAAAAAACTTCTAATTAGAAATGCATTACGTACATTGCTCCACTTTAAGCTTTGAAACCATATAACCCAATGAAGTACGATCCTCTATACCAAAAAACTTCTAAATTGAAATGCATTAAGTACATTGTTCCACTTTAAGCTTTGAAACCATATAACCAAATGAAGTACGATCCTCTTTACCAAAAAAACTTCTAATTAGAAATACATTAAGTACATTGCTCCACTTTACGTTTTGAAACCAATTAACCAAATGAAGTACGATCCTCTATACCAAAAACTTCTAAATAGAAATACATTAAGTATGTTTCTGTATTGTAAGTTTCAAGACCTTTTAGCCAAACGAATTAACATCTTCAACTTCAACTTGCTTTTAAAGAAGTTTGTAATTATTACGTTTCCGGAGTGTCTTGATATGTTCTACATTTGTTAACGGAAAGCTATTGATTTATGTGATAGACGTGTACATTTTCCAAGGAGGTCGATACCCTTGTTTTTAATAGCCATATCTCTTTTGAAATTTGATGTTTTTTATAGGAATGTTGTCATTTAGTGTAATCAACTCCCCCTTCAGTTTTATTGGAATTTCACAAAACTGTTTATATCGAGTAAATTAGCTTATCCAAAGGGAGGAGAAAGCCCCCTTGCGTTGGTTTACTGTTGTCATTTAGTGTAATCAACTCCCCCTTCAGTTTTATTGGAATTTCACAAAACTGTTTATATCGAGTAAATTAGCTTATCCAAAGGGAGGAGAAAGCCCCCTTGCGTTGGTTTACTGAACTAATTTAGGTTGTCGTTATTTCTTTCACATCCTAGTGCAAAGCTACATACACACAATGGGTTATCTGCACTCTGTCTACAGCGGGAAACATCCAGGTTGTACAGATAAAAGTGTTTTGTTTAAAATTTGTTTTGTAAATGTCCAAAAAAGTTGAATAATTGTATGCTGTTTATGTAACTTGAAACTGACTGCTTCTTTGCTAATTTTTCGAATGTAACCTATGTTACTGGGTCATGCAAATGTTACTGGTTAATATATATGCTGAGTAAATATTGAAGTAAAGTAGGAATATTTATTTACGTATGGACCACAGGATCAAGAATGTCAGACTTCTTATGTATTCACTGAGCTAAGTCTTGCATATCAAGCTGGTCATACTTGAAAAATAACATTAATAGTGTTATTGTATTTAAAAAGTGCAAACAATAACAGTACCATTGTTGTTCAATTATACATAGATAAGATGACACTTGGAAATGTTTCCTTGTTGCTTTAGTTATTTAACCTGACAGCGACAAAAAAAAAATGGACAGGTAGTTAAATTTTGTGATAAATAGAAAGATAGAATCAGAGTGTTCTATAAACAGATGCATAAAAACGAATGAATGGCAAGCAGGTTGCTAAATACAGGTTAATATATATTACTAACCCTCCAATGATAAGTCTTCGGGCTTATGACGCTAGACAACGGGTTTCGATACCCGTGGTGGGCAGAGTACAAATAGCCCATTGTGTAGCTTTATATCGCTTGTTACAACAGCCCGTGAAACATGAGTATTCAAAGTAGTCAGTGTATAGGGTCTGACTGAATCAGTGTGTATGAAAGTGTCACGTTTAAGAACAAGATGATACTCAGTAACACGTGCTCGTTTCTTTCACCCCTGGCAGTATCTGGATATTCAGACATATTTCTGGTAAGCTTGTATCATGGGTCGGGGGGGGAGGGGATTGCTCCATTCCAAACTCTCTCAGATGCATGGTGGGTTAAGGCGTTAAGAGATGTCGGTCTGAGAGGTGTTCCTTGGGATTTAAATCAAAAATTCTTGCTGACCAGTCTATAAGCACTATAATTTCTTGTCCATTAAAATTACGGCTGTGTAATACTGGGTATTTTCCTGCATAATGTAGTTCGATTACACTCGCGAAATGTTTTACAACCATAAACATATCGGTAAATCCACCCCTCGGAAACATAACAGGATGTATTGATCAATTCATACTAATACTTCCCTACACCACAAATGGAATGATACCAAACGGCCATATTCAACGATGTTGAATTAATCATATCTGACTCTTCAGATGTGAATCCATTGGTAGAGTCATGAAACATTGACTTCTCTGTGAAGAGTACAAGTATCCGTTGGCGTTTCAGCCATATCTTGGGAAATGAACTGTAGTGGTAGTGAAACATGTCTTTTTCAAGCTTAAGCCGTGCTCTCAAAGTATATTTCTTACAGTTTGGTCACTGAAAGTTATTCTATATGTTGTTGCCAAGTCCATAGGCAAAGGCTTGGCATGGCCTGGCCTGGTGGTTGGAGCACTAGACTCGCAATCAGAAGGTTCGAATCCCTTCACCACACATGCTCGCCCTTTCAGAGAGGGGGTGTTATAATATGATGGTCAATCCCATTATTTGTTGGTAAAAGATTAGCCTAAGAGTTGACAGTGGGTGGTGTTGACTAGTTGTCCCCTCTATAATCTGTGATTTCAAAATTAGGGATGACTAGTGCAGATAGCCCTCTAGTACCTTTGCTCAAATTCAATAAACAAACAAAACCAGAGCCTACCGATTAATGGTTCCTAATGGCCAACTTGTTCAGATAAAGGTCATTTGTCGTAACTAAGATTCCACAACCTTGACCAACTGTTTGATATTATGCCCACAACCTTCCCTTTGCATGTTAAGATACAACAAGAACAACAAAATCTATCACTTGTGTTACTGTTATCGAGTTCGAACACTTGAATATTTACATACATCTGTCAGAAATGTGCGCCCGTAATCAACCGGGATCATTGTTACATAATTAAATAGAAAATACAACCAAAACTGTATTGATTACCACGATTAATCAGAAAATGATCAAATTTGAAAGCACAATAGGATACCGTCTATCTAAGGCGAGCAGTTCATGCAAAATGTACCGAAACACACACACATAATTAATATTCATTTGTTTGTCTGTTTCAGCGCCAAGCTACACAGTAAGCTATCCGCGCTCTGTCTAACACAGGGAATCCGATCATGGATTTTTACGTTCGTAAACTTACCGCTAACCAATAATTAATGACATATGACGTTTGGAATTGCATTCAGCTGTAATTTTAAAGACTGTATTACATGTTTCACTTTTATTTAATAATAATGTATATATGTGGAAAGGGAGATGGAAAATGATAGCATGACAATACCTAAATAACACATAAAAACACTATAAATGAAAAATAAGAAAAAAGACGTCAATTTAAACTGATATTATATCTCATCATGTTTGGCAATCATCTTCATGGAGTTTTTACATTCTGTAATTGTATATTGTATGTAAGTGCATATGATTAGGTTTATATAATTGCTCAATAAGTAAGTGCCTCGTTAAACTTCTGCTCAAAAGGAAACTCTTATCGATAAAGTGGTTGTATTGTGTTAAGAGGAGTTCTTCAAATATAGAAAAGCTAATATCAAATATTGAACATGTTTGAGTACAGTAGAAAATCATTTCGTCTCTATCCTTAAAATAAGATATGCAAAAAGAGCTATAAAAACGTCACGTGTCTAATAATGAACTTAGACGTTTCTCACGAGGGAAAATTAATATCAAAACTTAATTCAAATTCAAGTACATATCTACATTTATAAAAACATGTAAAGCCTCGTGAATAAAAAAACAACAAAAACTTGTTTCAATACGGTAACATTCTGTTGAACTTTCTTTATATGATACAAATGTATTTATAAATAATGTGAAAGGAAGCCAAGTCAGCTTAATGGATTTCTAAGGAAATAAATATAAGAAACTTAAGAGTCGATTTTGTGTGAACAACTTATTTCTTAGGAATATCGTTTGTTGCGTTCTTTCTTTTTTTTTTTTTGGCAGAGCATTCTTTGATCCTGCCATATGAAGTGTAATTAAGCCTAGTATCATAGAGTTTAAGAGGTTGAGATGCATGCGTTGTGTAGCGGCAAGTTGCAGGTGTTGACAGATTTTGCCAGTGTTGTAAGAAAAGCCAATATTTACTTAGGACCGTATGGCTTCAAAATAACATGTAACAAGAATAACAAAAGGTTTTGATTAGTACAGAGGACTGTGTGACACGAGTCATTATTGATGCAAACCAGACACCACCACGATATAATTAATTTTAAATCTGCTACTTTTCCAGCTTTGCTTTGTAAAAAATTTTGGAAGCTTTCTGTCACAACAACTATTACGTTACTCTAGAGGGGCAAGGGAATCTTCAAATCGTATACACAAAGTCTTCATTATAGCATAGAATATATTGATTGGTATCATCCAACTTTCACATACCATAAATCTTGCGTAAGGTGGCGCTATCGGTTACTTGCCTTCTGCGATTAGTGTTAGCTCAGTATGCTCCCACTCGAATAAAAATTTTGGATGTTAAGTTTCGTCATCTTGCATTCAAGTCGAACCCTTGTACACGTGGCGGTAATGCTTGGTGTCCTGGTGGAAAAAACTGATAATATGTATTTATATTGCTGTTGTTATAATATATTCAGAATTAATACACACTAAATGTTAATAAGTTTTGACTAGGTTTTACAAATGATTTAAAGAATGAGGTTTTGACTGAACAATCCCGTACAATTTTTGACACTGAGCAGTGGCATTAAAGATATTACTACAATATCATGAGCCCATGTAATATTGTAGCCTGTCTTGATATATAATACATATCATGAGCCTATATAATATTGTAGCATTTCTTGATCCATGTTACAATATCGTGAGCCCATGTAATATTGGGACCTGTTTTGATTTTTATTCCAGTATCGTGAGCCCATAAAATATTGTGTAGGAAATTACGCGTAGTGGTTGTTGACAATAATAAAAAGAAGTTTGTTATAGGTCAAACCACTAAGGAGTTAATATATATATATATATATTTAATATATATAATTGTGGATACAACGTTTAGGGCAATGCCCTTCTTCAGGTATCACTAACAGATATAATATTGTGGTCTGTCTTGATCTATATTCCAATATCATGAGCTCATGTAATATTGGG